TGGGTGCATCTTATAATACACTGAATACAGCATTTTTCGCCTCCCGAAGCCCTGCCCCCTTCACCAAAATGGCCCATGCATAGTCTTTAGGAGACTTTCAGAGAGCTCCTGGGGGATGCGGAGGGCGGAGATGAGCAATTTGCTCCCCCAGCCCCCAGCAACACTCTATAAGCCTCCATAAGGCAATGCATGCAATTTTTTGGACAAAAAATGGGACCGTTTTCGTGAAAAACGGATCGTTTTTTGCTTGTTTTTGCCGCCCCTATCCCCAGGAGCTCTCTGCAAGCCTCCCAAGGCTATTCATGCCTTTTTTTAAAGCAAAAAATGGGCCATTTTTGGGAGGTTTGCAGAGTGCAAAAACTTTTTTTTTTCCTTTTGGAAAACTCTTTAACTGATTGATGAGAATTAGATTGATCAAGTGCTGTGCCAGCAGAAACAAAGTCTTAGGTGCTGCAGAATGTCAGTGATTTCCTTCTCCAGCAAATGGATAAATACACCTAGAAACATCTACCTACCTACCTTCTCTCTCATAATTATTCATAATAAATGATTTTTATATTCATATGGTGCCTTGAGGCTTGTGGGGCTTGGCAGAAAATCAACTGCGGTATGACAGTTTTTTAACTCTCTTAAGTTAAGTGCGTTTTATGATCTACATGAAGGTACTCAGATGAAGAAGCGGTCTCTCTATTACTCACCCATGTTGCCATCCAAATAGGAGCCCACACTTAGCTTATAATTTTCACTTTCATTTTCGATTCTGAAACTGGAATATGTTGCAAAGGTTGTGGAACCATTGAAATCTTGCACATCAATTCGCAATTGCTGTGTTCCTAAACACCAAAGGGTAGATGTTATTAGAGAATACATACTAGAGGTGCAGAAATCCTTGAAGGGAAGCGTATTGATAGTTGTAATAGACTTTCATTCCACAAGGACATAACCCCAGGACTACCATGATTCATAAAAGCTTAGTTATCATTGCTTTTCAGTGGACACGATTCACAGTGCAAAAGCAATGACAACATGGAGGAACAGAATTACAGGAGCACCAGAGGTGGCCCAGGAAAATTAAACCACTGCCACGTCACAAACTTTGTCTGATCATTTTGCACAATTAGTCAGAAAGTGACCCATGCATAGCCACTTTTTCCTTTGTTTTCATCAAGTCAATATTTTTATAACTATCTACTTACATATGGTAAGTAAGGCAGCAAAGAGGGATACAGATTGCTGCAGGCGTGTCCTGATTCCATATGTGAATGTATATTAGCAGGAGTCCCATGCATACATATGTGTTTGTGTGCATGTAATGTATATGTGGATGTGTATATGTATGTATATGTATGTATATGTATATATATATATTTATTTCCCTCAGATTTCTTTTATGAATTTTGAATGTACCATTAATCTTTATGGAAGGAAATGGAAGTTAAGTCTTAAGTACTGACAGGAACAGATCAGAGTCTTTTTTTAATGCATATATGTGTCCCTGTGATGAAAAGAGAGTCTTTGGTAATATTAGAGACAGAATCTGAAAGGACTGATATTCATCTTTCCTTGTAAATTAACTC